CTTGTCCCCGTGCCCCCCCGTGTCCCGTGTCCCCCCGTGTCCCCCCCGTGTCCCGTGTCCCCTCACCCGCCAGCCGCTCCATCATCTCGGGGCTGTGCTGGGGGGTGGGCGCGATGCGCAGCAGCTCCCCCCCCCGCGGCACGGTGGGGGGGTTGATGGCCTGCACGAACATCCCCCGCTCCAGCAGCGCCCGGCTCAGGCGGGTGGCGGCCAGCGCGTCCCCGACCTGCCCCAAAACCCGAAAAATCACCCCAAAGTCAGCCCCAAGTGATCACCGCGCAACCGGCAAAAATCAGCCCAAAATCACCCCGAAACCGGCAAAAATCAGCCCCGAATCTCCCCGAAACCGGCAAAAATCAGCCCAAAATCACCCCAAAACCGGCAAAAATCAGCCCAAAATCACCCCGAAATCGGCAAAAATCAGCCCAAAATCACCCCGAAATCGGCAAAAATCAGACCCAAATCCCCCCAAAGTCACCCAAAAATCAACCCGAAATAATCACCCCAAAACCCGCGAAAATCACCCCAAAATCAGCCCCAAACGATCACCCCAAAACCGGCAAAAATCAGCCCCAAATCCCCCCAAAGTCACCCAAAAATCAACCCGAAATAATCACCCCAAAACCCGCGAAAATCACCCCAAAATCAGCCCCAAACGATCACCCCAAAACCGGCAAAAATCAGCCCCAAATCCCCCCAAAATCGGCAAAAAATCAGACCAAAATCACCCTGAAATAATCATCCCAATATCGGCAAAAATCAGCCCAAAATCAGCCCAAAATCAACCCAAAATATACCCCCCAAAGTCAGCCCCAAATCCACCCAAAACTGGCAAAAAATCACCCCAAAATCACCCCGAAATAATCACCCCAAAATCCCCTGAAATCACCCCACATCACCCCAAAATCAGCTCCAAATAACCACCCCAAAATCAGCCAAAATGACCTGAAAATCACCCAAAATACTCACCCCAAAATCCCCCCAAACCCCTTCGACCCCCCGAAAATCCCCCAAAACCTCCCCAAAATC